GGGATTCGCCCGCCGCATGCCCCTGAGGTGCGAGGCAGGCGGCCGTCAGCCGTCACGATGTGCTTGGGGCAGAGGCGACGTGTGGAATCGGCCCCCTGTGCTCATCGTTGGGTGGGTGCTCCTGGAGAGGTCGCCTGTGTCTCTCGGTGGTGGGTGACACGTAAGCAACTCCTGATGCCACTTCAGGGTATCAGGAGCGAGGAGTTCAAAGTGTGACTGGGTCTGTACGTGCATGGGGTAGTGGGAAGCACGGATCTGTAAGTGCCAGTTGCACACCTGCCACTGGTGCTTATGGATTGGAGGACCTCCGGTGCCTTGCGAGACCACGGGAGGCGATGCACATCATGCCTTGCCGCTAATGTAAAGGTTAGTGATGACACATGCTGATTTGTGGAAAAAACTCAGAGCTTCTCAGTGCTGAAGTTTGGAAACAGCTGTTCTCCAGCTTGATGGGTTCGAAGAGATGTTAGGTGGCTGCCAGACCGCTTAGTCAGTTGTGCGCTTATCGCTGCATCATCTGCTCTCTTTCGCCTGCCCCTGTCTCCCTTACTGTCTTTCCTTCTCATCTATGCTCTCCCTTGAACTCACATCTGAACTTTTTGACTTTTCCGGACTTTTTTTTGTGGTCATGTTTTAATGATGGGTTATACTATGCTCTTCCATATGGAAGGAGAGCCAGGGTAGTCCTATAATTTTTGGCACTACCGTAGCAAATGGAAACTTGGAATACCAGTCATACAAGTATGAAATACCATTATGGTACGTAAGGGGTTGGAAATTTCTGTCACTCCGGTTAAATATCTGTAGATTCAAAGATTTTGCCCCTTTTTCTTTGTTACTGAAAGTTACTTTGCTCCTTGTTCATCACAAATAACATTCCTATGTAAGGGAGTTCAGAAACATTTATTGTTGTTAAGAGACTTGCTTTTTCAGATGTGTTTTCAGTATCTTAGTTAAGGTAGGGGGGGAAGCTCCTACCAAAGGGGGGGAAGCTCAGTTCAGGTGTGCTTTAAGAAACTTTTTAGTTAAGTTTATTGTTGGGCAAATAGTATTTGCTTTTTACTGAAATTGTAATTCCATTTAGTTTTAGTTCAGGAAAAGAGAAAGTGGAACTTACAGGGCTATAGTGACTAGGACTGACAGGCTCTTACTTGGTGGGATACGCCTGTCTTAAAAATCCCTGCTCTGCTAGAAGCCTCTTGATCATCGTGTGCGAGTCTTGAAAAGTCCTTTGTCTGTCTGTGTGTATGCTGTGTCCTGTGTAGACTGGGATAGCTGCATTGGTTCAGTTCTTCTGAAATTTTTATTGGAAAAAGATAATTCATCTTGACTGAGCAGATAGTTGGACTTCCTTCCAAAGCTACCAGAGTGGCCAGACGGAATGATAAATGGCCAGTTTGGAGCCGTATTAATAATAGGACATATTACACTTATCTTTTATGAGTTGTTTTAAATTTGTGAAAGCCAAGTTGGAAGAGAAATGACATTTTAGAATATTTAGAAACATCTAAGATTTCTTCTCAGAGAATGCCTCTGCAGAAATCCGAGAATGTTTCAGCTGTCATCTAATTATGACTGACAAGGTTAGCAGGTTCAGGGAAGCCCAGGAAACCTAATTTTTTCCCTGCAGCAAAGTAACTCCCTGGTTTTGTGTCAGCTAGCTTACTGCCTGCTTTATGACTTTTCTGTATTTACTGAGCTGTCAACACCTTCAAGGAACAGAGGTTTTTGTTTTCAAGTTAATGAAAGTGAAAAATTTCCATTGAATTTGATACTGTGTGGGTTACACATCTTGATTAAACTTCAAAAGGTATTTTATGTGCAGATAAAATGTAGAAGCGATCTTACGCCTTTGAGTCTGTGTTTTGCTGCAGTCTTGCAGACAAATTCCCAGTGTCCTTTAGTAGTCTCTGAGGCACTCCACGCATGGAAGGAAGAATGTGTGGCAATTTTATCGCACAAAGAGATCTTACACTGGCAATTATTGTACGAGAACTGTATTAATTAATGTCTACAGTGGAATTTTTTTGAAACAACTTTTTAATGTGGGGGGAGTGTTACGTTATTAACAATCATTCTTATGATTTTTCAATGTTATTTTGCTACCTCCCCAATACTCGTGCTCAGTGCTTGTTTTCTGAAGGGAGTTACTCTTGAGTGATATGATTTGGTGCCTGTGGATCATTCCATTCACATGAGGTAGCATTCAGTGTTATGCAACAGCTCTGTAATACTTCTGTGTTTTTGTTGTCAAGAAGACACTTCCTAATGCAATTAAGTAGTAGCAACTGTAATTTTTCTGTTTTGGGAGGGGAAAAAAATTGCTGTGAGAGAGAAGGGCTATTTTGTAGCCTGGTTTCCTAAAGCTACAGGGGTGAAACAGGTCAGACCTGTATGTGTCCATTGGCCCTTCTCCCTCAATAGTTTTTGAGTCCCTTGGTTGGTATTAATCACCTTTGGCAATGGGCTGCCTCTTGCACACAGTTGGCAGACTGAGCAAAGATGGGTTGGAGCTGTACAGGAGGATGGGGATAGTGAAGTGTATGGGGAGAGGGGATGAAGCACTTAGGAGGTACCAGGAAATGTTTCAGTGGGAGTGTGTGATGAATTCAAGGCATTGCGAGACACTGAGGAGGGGCGGAACTGAGGGTGCAGAATATAAACCACAGAAACCCAAGATTCTGTGGATTTACTACTCTGTTTTTTAGTAGTGATATAGATGAGATTGGAACAGACTTTTATGTAAAGATAGTTTTGACCGATTTCTTTTGCTTGAAAAGAAATGGTCATCTGGTCTACTGCCTTCCGAAAGCCAGTATTATCACATTCATTCTTTCTTCCCAGGAGAGCACCCTGTGCTTCAGGAGAGGAGCTTTTGTTTTGTTAGTTCGGTCCAGTTTGGAGCCACTCACAAGAATGCCAGAAGTGAGAATGATTTTGTCCTATATGTACTGAAATAGGGTGCTCAGAGGTATTGCAGAATTGCACTGGTCACTCAGCACTTTCTCAAACACAGCAAATTTGCTTGTATCTCTGCATCTGACTGCAGCAGAGAGTAGTAGACATCTGTGCTGGCTTTAAGCTAGCTGTCATGGTTTGAAAAGTAGCCGTCAATCTAGAAAAGGAAGTTTGGAGGTCATCACAGCCTGTGAAACCAATGTGGGAAACTTGTATTGGTACAGTGAGCCTGCTGGGAGCTCAAGACTGCTGTGGCTCAGCTGCTACTGTGCCCTGAGAAACCCTGTCAATAGCTGCTCAGGTGTGTTCATGCTGTACTGCACTTGCTGTGGTGTGCAGTCATGGATGTGAGTTTGGGATGAATTTGAGTCAGTGATCAGTCTCAACATAAAGACATCCTCCTGTTAGGTCCCCTGGGCTAACTGGTTTCTTTGATGTATTACACTTTCAAGTCTGCTATTGCTTTTGCAACTAGACGTAACGTCAAACTTTATAATTTCAGGTATTAATGTGCATGCCAGGTTGCTCTGCTTATCAGGACTGAGCTGGAACTGGCTTTCACAGGGATTATTTGCTATCCCTCCTCACCAACATTAGCTTATATGTGTTCTGTCATCTTTGTTGTATTTGTGTGTAAGTTTGTGCAACTTCTCTTTTAGATTGGTTTACAGATGTGGTTGGAAAGCACTTACATTGTTTCAGATACACTGACTTGCTTCCTATTAGCAGCCTGGTGTGTGAATAATGGTCATAATAACCCTAATAATACTCTGCAAATTGAGTGTTGCTTTCCTTGCAATAAATCTTTTGAAGATCTTTTCTTTGAGATATAGTTTCATTTCTATGCAGATCATTCTTGCAATATATTTTTTTGGCCTTCTCCCTCATATGATTCATGGATACAAAAGTCACATTCAAGGAAGACTTATGTCTTAGGTTTTCATAGTTAATGAACATAACTATTTCAAACTATTTTCATGTGTATAAACATGTGAAGTCCTGTGATGATAAACATCAGTAAATATTTAGAAGCTTGAAAAGTTTATAGTAAATTAACTATGTGAGCCGAAGCTGAATCCCATTCAGCTGGGTAATGCAAGCCCATAAGGTCTAGTCATGAACCATTATTTACTTGTTACTCCTTGTTTACACTGAACAATTACATCGATAGCCCTTTAGAAGCTATGTGAATCTGACTTTGCTTTTGTGTGTGAATTTTAAATACCTTTTGTGACCTTTGATATTTTTTTTTTTAATTATTATTTTTTTATTCACTAATCTTTTTCATTAGTTCTGCTGGTGTGCCGCTATATCTCATTTATACTCAAAAAAATCAAACACAAACATACTTGATACCTAGCTGCCATTTCCCTGTCATCCTGAGTTCCTGTAGAATATTTTAATAATTGATTTCCATATAGGAAATGAGCTGCTGATGAAGTCTTAACTGATGATATTTGGAAAAACTTTTCAATTCTGCAGTTCCTCACCTCCTTTCCTAGCTATCACTTCCCCATCTCCTTTCATCCTTCCCTTTGCAAGAGCGCTGGTCTGTGAGCACCTCCAATGCTTTGGGAACTACTTGTGCAGAAGAGGTCCGTACGAGTGTAAGAAGCCACGCTTGTGGCAGTGGTCTCTGTCGGGTTTTGGGAGCAGGGACAGGTGTTCTCATGCTGCCTCTCTCGCTTTATTGCGCTATGACCTTGACTACATCTTAAATTACCTTCTCGGCTGACTACCTAAGCAGGATATCAGCTTAATGTTTCTACAGTACTTTGAACACAAACGGGGTTACAAATGTTGAATCATTGTAGGAAAATATGAATGCTGAGTTTACCTAATGTCAGCACTAGCCCAGACGAGGTAAGCTCTGCAGTGCTTCCTACCCACTGACTTGCACAGGGCTGGCCGTTACTGTGAGCATCCCCACCGAGTCACAGAACCCTTCCGCTGCTTCCTCTGTGTCCCTGTGTTTGTAAAGAGGAGACATAATTGAACCTGCTTTGCCTGTATACCAAATAAATCATGGAATTAAAAAATTGTGAGGGGGAAGCACGATGTAATATCCTTTCTGTTCATTTGTGTAGATCTTACTCATTTTAAATACTACTCATATGTCTGAGGAGAGAAAGTGATATAGGAGAAGTATGGGAATGTACAGCAACAGCTTAAGTTTTGAGTTGTTAGAGCAAGTAGGAGTAACTGAGCATCGTGCTGGGAGCTTGTGTGCAGGCACCAGTCCTGCAAAGATTTAAGGCTATGCTCAACTTCAGTAGATGTTCTCACAGCCTATGCACAGTGTATAAAATGAATCATATTTAAATATTTGCAGGATGAGTGTTTTAGCAGTGTGGAAAAGAGTGACTGGTTAGGTTTGCTGTGTGTGAAAAATTTTCTCCAATTTCAAGTAGATGATATTTCTTCATGAAAAGGACCTGTGCTTTTGTCCTCATTGCTCTTTCTAAAGATGTCTCCAAAAAACTTATCACAGCATGAACATAATTGTATAATAGAAATATAGTTATTCAGTAGCTCGTATTAAATACATTTTTCTCAAATTTCTTGTCAGTTGCCAGGGCTAAAGGGGGAGATGTATAGTATAAGGATATATTTTGGTCATGAGATCTCCTTCTTTTAATGCTGACCAAATGTCCTGTGCCTCTCTTTACAGCTTCCAGCTACAGTTTTATTCTGAGCATTAGTGAAGAGGAAGCCAGGGTGAAGGCTTTGAACGAGTACCTGAGCACTCGTAGTTATATCCAGGGGTTCACATTTTCACATGCAGATGTGGAGGTATTCAGAAAGTTTTCGGGGCCACCTGTGGACCAGTATATCCATGTTGTCCGGTGGTACAGACACATAGAAGCAATCTATGATGGCAGCAGTGAAAAAAATGAGCCTTGTAAACTTCAAACAAGTGAGTAATATGAAACTGGTGGGCAGGTTATAGACTAGCTGACATTGTATTGGTTGGTATTGCTGAGAATTCCTAGAAGTTCCCTTTCATACTCTCTTGCACGCTTTAAAATTTACCGTATCAACTTGTATTCAAGGTCATGAAATTCTTCTTGCATACAGTTACTGTGTAATTGATAGATCCTGACCTATTTGAATGTTAAAGCTCTGTTTCTTTGATTTTAAAATTCCTCAGTATACAGAATTCGATTATGTGTATTTTCTTAAAAAAGCTAGCCACTGGATTGTAAAAAAATATGTGGATTTTGGTTTGTTCTCTAAAATACCAGGATTTGCTCAGTCCACTTTTTTTCCCTGCAAGGGTAACTAAATAGGTGCTGTATAATATACAGATTCATAATAAAGTAATCTGAATACTGCCTCTTATGATTGTTATTAACACTGACTCTCAAAAAGAATGTTTGGGGTTCTTTTTTAACCCTGGTAATTTAGGCATTGCTGATGATTTGAGGAAATACTAACTGGTCAATCTAGGTCATTGTGTAAGCATGGGTGCTGGCATTTTTGGGAGCTGCATCACTCTCCTGAGTTGTTTTCCAATGAGCTAGTCTAACTTAATTGCTTTATAGTGAGATCCTTGCTGAGAGAGTCATGAAATAATTAATAGTAATAACAACACAGAGCTGTTGTATGGTGCTTGCAATACCTATAAATGAATGCATAATGTCTGTCATTTTTGCTGATGGTTGTTGACTAATATTACTCCAATGCCATCTTCTTACAACCTCTCATCATATGTGTTCTCAATTCCTAGCAGACTAGCAGTTAAAATCAAACTGCTCTGAGTAGGTTCTGCGTACGTGTGTGCGCCTGCATGCATTTGTGCTGGTTCTTGATTTCCTTTTAGCAGTGAAGGTATCTCAGCTGTACTGCTGGCTCTGGTAACAGATTTAATGCCACTAACTACAGTTTACCTGCAGACTTTCATGGAACAGAGTGGAGCAATAGCAGAAAAGGTTTCTGTTTTCCTGTCCATGAAATCTTTAATGTTAAGTCTCTCTTTCTGAAACGTTATTCTTGTTATCTTTATGATCTGTGCGTATGTATCACAAGTCCTGAAATGGTGTTCTGCAGTGTTCACTATGAAAATGACACGTGATTGCCACGCTTCTTAGACCTTGGATATTTTATCAGTGTTTTTTTGGGTGTATCAGAGAGCTCCAGGGGTGGATTAGAGCAAATGAACTTCAGTTCAACCGGAGGGAACATCATAGCTGGCAGAGAGGTATTTGAACAGGCTAAACAGTATGCCTTTTACTCTGCCCTTGGTGTCGATGTAGTGGATATAATGTGACACCTAACTCACAAGCTGAGAACTTTAGGGTGCAGTGTCTGGGTTTTTTCTTATGTTTAGTGTGGTTGTCAGTAAAGAAAGCTTTACAGATTTATCTTTTATTAGACTAACCCACATAGGTTTCTTTCCCCGAGGGAAACATTAGCCGCAATTAAGCATGCCAGCATAATCTTTGTAAATCAAAGAGTAAACAAATCCATACCTTGGTATATGGTCTGTGTTATGGATAGACTGCTCTTGAACTTGAAGTATTCTGTTCAGGAGTCCTTTATACAATCAGATATTTAGAATAAACATATATTTCTGTGGATCCATAACATGCAGATTAAATGGAGCCCCTTTGTGAGATGGAGTACTACAGTTAATATCTTGTTTTCCTATTTAGGCAGTTATTCAAAAAAGGAAGATGAGGGAGAAATTAAATTTTTTATACCATGGATGTTTACATTACTTGAAGGTTTTTAGCCAAAATATTCATACGGAGATATTGGAAGGAAACAGACTTAATGAAGAGCATCCTGAGACACAGGATCAGAAAGGCAATTTTGTTGTCAAAACAAACAGTTTGTATAATATTTTAATTGCAGTTAAAATACATACCATGAGAATTCCTAAAGACAGTGCTGTGTGTATTAAGCTGGCAACCTTGCTGTATTTTTGAATTTCCTAGTTTGCTTTCATTCCTAGTTAACGAGATAATTAGTTTAACATCATTACAGCTGTAAGCAGCCCTGTGCATAGCAAACTGCAGCTCTTCAACAGGTGACATACTTTTGTTTGAAAAAAACGTGAGTTTAACAACTATGTTGCTTCTTAAAAGTTTGAAAGAAAACAAATGCAATACTATTGTCACTAATATTACCTTGGTTTTATCTGCTCTCTTTAATGGCAAAATTTAGCCCCTTGCTGAATTGGAGCATATTTGTGGTAAATGAGTGTGTTGAAAACTGCCTTGTGTACATAGCAACAATGTATGATAAGAAACTGAAGTTCTTTCTAAACCTTTCTGTCTTCCCCCCCCCGCCCCCGAGTACACGTACTATGTCAATATTGGCTCCAGAGACTAACTCTGGTCTCTGGAGATTTTTTGCAAATTCTGTGTGAGATCTGTGATATGCCATCACAGTAAAATCAGTCATGTTGCAGAAAGCCCAGGACTGCCATACCACTTTATTAATAATTCGTTAAATTTCAAAGCTCTTGTTAATGCTTTAACTGAATTGCATGCTCTTACTTTTATACCCTCTTCCTTCCTGGATCAGATCCTTACTTGGATCAGAAGTTAATAGGAATGGCAAGTCAGAGAGCAGAAAGTAAACTAGATTGAAATAATTTAGTTTGGTTTTAGTGGTTTTGTAGGAAACTCTAACAAAACTAGTTGGATTACTAAGATTGGAGCTGCTTTGTCTAATTATATGTGTTTTTTTCCTTTTGAAATAACTTAGTGATGTGATAAGGAGAAAATGTTATATTGCAAATCTGTTTGTGAAAATTATCTTTTCAGTTCTCTTTAAACTATTTTTTCTCCTAGGTAAAGGCAAGCGTCTGCAGCCCCCTTGGTCTCCCCCTGAAGGGACAAAACATTCTAGGCTCTGCCTCTACAACAGCCTGACTCGCAATAAGGTGACTAAATGAAAGAAAAGTGGAGTTTTCCATAGAAACACAAATAGAGAAGTCATCGAAAGTTTGTTTCTTAAGTGTTTACCCTAATCAGTAGACAGGTTTCTGGGTTGTATTTTGAGGAACGTTAACAAGTAGGTGCCAGAGATGCTGTGTCAGTCAAGTGTGTTTGCTGAGCAAGTGTTATAATTTACACAATAAATATACATATACTACAAGTGTGTGTATGTATGTGTATATTGCATAATATATAGTTCCCAATTGCAAATTATCATCATGCAAAATAGCCAGGGGTTCAACTATAATAGACATAAGTATAGGCAATGTGAACAGAATAAAATCAGTTTCTTTCTTTAGATGTTGTCTGTGTAAAAAAAAGTCTCGCCAATTATATTATTGTAATATAAACTGGTAAAACTTCTTGTGGTCTTGTTTGAAGGTCTGTTGGAAAAGAGAGGAAATATTAAGAATACTAATGTTACATCGGATGTAGTATCCACATATGTGTGAAATGATTATACTCTGTAACCTTTTCCAATGCAAAAGAAAGCCTGATCTTCATTTTTACAAATGCAGCTTGAATCATGCCCTACCTGGTTCAAATCTTTGTAATCTGATATCTTGATTGATAAAGAGTGCAGGTAACATAAGCAGCCATACCCTGTCATCTCTCTTAGATGATAAAGCTAGTGGTGATCTTCTTATGGTAAAACTGGGAGTGGAATAACTATTCCTTTTTTTGTAATTATAATCCTTTTTTCACGTTCAAATCTCCGAATGTGGTGTTGCTGGCCTGAGATCATGTCTTCAATTTCTTCTAATCACTGTACCTTCCCTTTCAATTAAGGAAATATTTCAGCCTCAGAATGGAAAAAAGGTCTTGTGGTATTGCTGTGGTCCAACAGTTTATGATGCTTCTCACATGGGACATGCCAGGTACTGCAGTTCCTTATTTTGATATAGGTAATAACAGTGTGTATTGGAAGCAAAAGATTAATAGAAAAAGGTACTTTGTTTAGATGACTATATTACTAGAAAATAGTCTTGTTAGACTCAATGCTTGAGATTTAAGATTAAAAGCATGGTATAATATTATGCCATTGTGTGATTAAGAACTTACTAGTAGATGAGGGAAAATTAAAACTGCTATAAAATTATTGACTCTAAGATTAAAGTAGTTTGTGCATAGAATAGAAATAACTTGAGGTGTTCAATACGAACACCCCTATATCTTTTATGTTTTTAGGTCATACATCTCATTTGATATCCTGAGAAGAATCTTGAGGGATTATTTTAAATATGATATTTTCTATTGTATGAATATTACAGATATTGACGATAAGGTAAGGTCTTTTTAAATTGCAATCAAAAATACTGTACTTTAAGCATGGAAGTCAGAGAGTCATATGTAACTGCCATTTGATAAACCAAGATAAATCTTACACTTATTAACTTGGACATATATTTTGTACACAAAATCATTGATTTTTCTCAGTTTTGTAGCATTGCTATGGTAGCAAAGCCTATATTCTTGTATATAAATGAATATTGTCATAAATAATGAAGACTAAGCAATTTACAAAGATGACTTATTTTATTTGCCTGTTGTTGAGATACCTAATTAACTCTCTTGAGGTAGCTGATTAACTATGTATCATGTGTTTAATTTGTATTACTGCATGTAATTCTTGTAGCTTGTTAAATTTATAGGGATTCTGAAATGTCTTTGGTATGTAATAGGTTTTATTTGCACTGTATATAACTATATGTCAATTCACAAAAATGTTTTCATGTTTCTGCTTTGTAGATCATCAAGAGAGCAAGACAAAATTACCTTTTTGAACGGTATAGAGAGAACAAATCAGCACCAGATCAGCTACTTGAAGATGTTAAAACTGCCTCAGAGGTGGGCATGGTATTTAATCCCTGCTAGTGTCTTAGGTTCTTACTCGATAATGTAGCAAAGCACCTAAAAAGTGCCTCTGACTGCTACCTCCTTAAACTTTCTGTTTGTTTTACTTCTGTTGAACTGGTACCACACAAATTAGAAATGTTATTGAAACTGCGCATCACTTTGATTTTTCCATTGTTTTAGAATTGACAAGAACTATCCATGTAAAAGGCATGCCTGATTTTTATGTCCATAGAACTTGTTTGTGAGTGCATATATATTGTTGTTGGGGTATTGGGGGAAAAAGCTAAAAAAGCATTTGGATGTTTGTGTGTTAGAGTTCAAACTTTAAAAATAATCCTTTAAAATAGTTTTGAAATGGTGGTATGTCCGTAATCTTTTAAAGCTTGTGAGATTTCTTTTGTACCATTGACGGCCTTGGGAAGAGTAAAAAGTCTCCAAAGCTTTAGGGATTTAATAAATCGTGTATGCTGGACTGCAGGTGAGGGAAGGTGATTCTCTGGTCATTTTTAGAACTACAGATCCCAAAGAGATTATCAGTCTAATGAATTGAATACAGGCCTGGGAATAGGAGGCCTGGAAATTTTGCTCAACTATCATTGCCTGATGTACTCTCTAAGCATAGCATTTAATCTATGTTTCATAAGAAAACTTCTCCCTTGCAGATTTGTGATAATCAACTGTGTAATTAAGGTGATTAACTGCATAGAAAATTAAAATTACTAAACAACAGTAATGATGATGTAGTAATTTATACAGTCTTTCTGAAAAACTGAATTCGGATGTGAACTAAGTTCTTTTGATGTCACCTTTATTTCTGATAAGTATGTTTCAGTAGTTTAATATCAAAGCTTTTTATGTGGCATAATGTATTATTCATCACTAGCAAGGTACTGTGTGGCTAAAATAATATATTGTGTATGGAACATAGTGCTACTCTACTGCAAGTTGCTTTCTGAGGTGTTTTTTTTTTTTTTAAATGTAGCTCTTTTCAGTTAAATTAAATGAGACAACAGACCCAGATAGAAGGCAAATGTTGGAAAGAATTCAAAATGCAGTGAAGTCTGCTTTTGACCCTCTACGAGAAGCTCTGCAAGCAAAACTCCCTGCAGAAGACATCAACAGATGTCATGAGGTCAGTTTGAGCTCCTTTTTAAATTATATTTGGCTTATAATTGTTAGGGGGTTTAAAAATAATATTTAGCTTGTAGTAATTCCCTGAAATATTATGGCAATTTTTATTCATAAAAAGAGAAGAGGTGGGCCTGAGGACTTTTTAGTGCTTTGCATTCAATACAGGAAGTTTGATCCTTTAATTCAACTATATAGTTTTCGGTTGCTGTTTTTATCAATTAGGGTTTTTTTTCTTTCTCACTCTGATAATTACTCAGTCATTTTTACCTTTCCAACAGGGATTTTTGTCTTGCATGTATTTAGACTTTCTCTTTGACTTTTTTGTCTTCATGAATTAGTTTCAGTATAGATTACTGGACATAGATTTATGACATTGCAATACTGGTGGCAATTTTCTACAGAAGTGTTTCCATCTCTGATCAGAGAAGAAAAAACATCCCAAAAAATTATGCTCAGGGTAATTTTTATCCAAAGACCATTACATTTAGTGACAGTAATCCTGTTGACTTTATTGGGCTTTGGTACTGTCCCAGTAACCAAGTCAGTCAATATAACTATTGTCTTTTAGTAACTGGTTTCCACTTTCATCTGTTCTTGCTTTCAGATTATTTGTGATAATTACTGTAGGAACCATAGGGTATGTGCTGTCTTTTTGAGACGGCTCCCCCTCTAAATTGTCTTTTAAAAAAATGGTCTAGCTATTCTAATATCAAATGCCTTTGTAAAAATGTATACTGACTTAACAGAGTTTTATAACCAACTAAAATCTAAGCACCTTCTAGGCTATATCCTATTGTAAAAAAAAAGTAATCTTTTAATATAAGACTGAAACGTATCCTTGCTGATGTTCAAATTAGTCTTTCAGATGCTTTTTAGCAATGTGCACAGTAAGGCTTGTTAGGATTATCCAGTAGTATTGGAGGGAACAGATGATGTGATATAACTGCAGGTCTCATCTAGTGTTTACTGCATAAATTCCACATGCCTATTTAAGTGATTGATACCAAAACAGGTAACATGTATCAGTTTATCTTCTTTCCTTTGTTTCATCCATATTTATGAAGGGCAATACGATAAAAATCTGGTAGAAGCACAGATTACTCTGTAATCATAGCCAAGTGTCTTTTCCTTAAGCAAACCTCTCTGTTCAGAATAAGATCTTTCTGCAGAGTTTAAACAGGGCAAGTCTTTGATCAGTTGCACTTATAATTGTTGTTTTATAGATACTGTTGGAAGAAGCCAAAGATTTGCTGTCTGACTGGTTGGACACAAAATTTGGCAGTCAGGTGACTGACAATTCCATATTCTCAAAGCTCCCCAAATTCTGGGAAGGGGAATTTCATAAAGATATGGAAGCACTCAATGTAAGTAAACAAACTGTTTTCTGTTCTAAAAGTGTGTATGCCATGCCTCATAATATGCAGAATACAATTTAGCTCCTTAATAGGTTTTAAAAACCTCATATTTCAACCATATTGATATAGTATTTTCTTTAGTGTGAATAGGTAACTGTTAAATTAGCAGCTGTTCTGTTTCCATCCCAACAATATTAAATCTGTTGTGCATGATACCAGAGCCAGTTAACTGGTGATCAAGTTTGACATGTACACTCCATCCCTTCCTCTTGGTGTAACATGGGCTGATAATCATAAACTGATCCAGAAATTTGAGATAGAGTCTGTTAGCTGCACAAGAGAGGCCTGCCAACCTCAGCGTTTAGACTGACTACTTATCAGTCTTCAGCCACTAAGAAATTATGTGATGATAACAATCAAGGACAGATTTGTCTGTTACAGATGAAATGCTGTGTCATATGCAATGGTTCAGATCAGTGAAGGTTTATTTATTTACCTTTAAATCAGAGGGGCTTATTGCCTGTTCTGTCAGAAGTACAATAAGTGGAAGAGCTGACATTTCCTGCAGTAGTTTGTTGTTAACATCGCCTTAAAGGCTGAGGGAAAAATGGCCACAGCACATTGTTTCAGAGCAGAAAGCTTGAAATAAGAGTCTTAGATTCTACTATCACTTGCTTTTGAGCCGATTTTTAACCAATGTATAATATAAATATATATTTGGTGCATATTTGCATATGTATAAATATTTTTATATATATTAAAAATATATACAATTCTACTTTTTATCTGTAGGTTTTACCTCCAGATGTTTTAACACGGGTTAGTGAATATGTTCCAGAAATTGTGGATTTTGTGAAAAAGATTGTGGATAATGGTTATGGGTAAGTTTGCTGCTGGATGCTTTTGTTGTGCCCTTATACTGTATCAGAGCTAGAATGATTGCTTTCAACACTTAATTGTGAACTGTTTTCTCTGTTTTCATATGCAATAGTAGTCTTTTTGAGAAGTAGTGTTTCATCAAATAAAGAAACTTCAGGTTCCTTTGCAAAAGACCTATTAGTTCTTACCTGATGAAAATGTGCTATTCTATACTTCTTATGATGTCTTACAAAGCAAGAAGTTAGATTATTAAAAGTATAGGGTGAAATTCTTACTCATTAAAATAAATAGTCACAAGTCTCATTCACTTGTTTGACTTTTGACCTTCAGCAAGGGGTTTCAAAAATGGATGCCTGAGTAGATGGCTAGAAATCAGTTGTAAATAACATAAGTTTAGAAAAAAAAGGTAATTGTGAACTGTTTTTCTGCCATTGTCTAACATTTGTGAAAATCAAGCTAATACTCTAGAAGTTCCTAAGTATCGTGATAGATTCCCATTTGAAATTTTTGAGTTCTCTTTCTGTTAATAGCGTCAATTTTTTGACATGGATGTATTTTTATTGTGAAAAAAGCAAACCTGTTGTTCAGACTGCCATAATTTCTCTTGCATGTTCTTCCTTTAAACCTACATTTTTGAATTTTCTTTAAAAAAAAAAGGGGGGGGGATGGTCACCGTTCAGAATTGTTTGCACTGAATTATTGACATTCCTGGTGGTCCTGAAACTTACCTTTGTGTCAGTGTTTTTATTATGGACTTGCCTTTGTGTCAGAGTTTTTATTATGGGTATAGTGGGACAAAATTAGCAAAATGAAGGACAAAGTGGACTGTGAAACAAACATGATTCATAGTATATTATTGCAAAATATTTAAAGGGACCAGAATTATTGTAGATATTTCTTCTCTTGGGATTGTTATCTGACATTTCACTTCTTAAGAGTTTAACAAAAGAGGGTAGTTATTTTCCCTTTGATCAATTTTATTATAACTTTCAATTACTTGTCTGAAGTCTTTATGATAAGGGCTTAAAACTTAGGCTCGCCTAAGTCATCTTTACAATACTGAGCAGTACCATACTGTATGTGGTTTCACTAGAGAACTTAAGTTTAAGATGGTGATTTTTGGGATAAAATTTGATTAAGTCTTGGTAGAAAGTTAGCTAAATAATGATCTTTAACTTTTCAGGTATGTGTCCAATGGATCTGTATACTTTGATACTATGAAGTTTGATTCCAGTGAAAAACACTCCTATGCTAAGTTGGTTCCTGAAGCTGTAGGTGATCAAAAAGCTCTTCAAGAGGGTGAAGGTAAAAAGGGGAAATAACATTTGCTTAAGTTGCTGAAGAAACTGATGATGTGTTGATCTCTTATTTGATTTCACTGACATTTGGATCACGGTTACTGTCAGAGTTGAACAGTTTACCTGCTGCACTTCATTTACCAACAGAATTCTCTTCCAAAGTTTTGTAGCTTGAGCCAGCACTTTCCTGAAAGTTTTTCATTGGAAAATACCTAGAAAAGTTATTCATTCTAGGATTTTTTGTTTGTTTGGTTGGTTGGTTTTTTTTGTCAGAATTGTGAATAGCTCTGTCATTTGACTATAGCCCAGTTATTTGGTTATTCATATGGTTCAAAGTAAGAGGAGCAAAGACTTGAAGCTGGGTCTTCCACATGCCAGGTGAAAGCTCTCCACGTCGGGCTGTGGTTATTTCATGACAAATATTTGGGCTTTTCTTTCATACTGAGAACTTTTTTTACTTTGTAAACCTTGTTGTGTTGAACTAAATCCAAATATATTGACAAGTTTACCCTTGACAATCTTGTCTTTAATCTCTCTTGCATTCTTATGCGGTAGGTGGTATTGTTAACCACTTTTAGTCTGGGACAGTACTGCAGAAATGGTAAATTCCCTGTGTTTTAAAGATGTTATAATGAGAGTGCCACTTAAATGATCACAAGAAGCTAACAGCAAATAATGCATGACACATCTGTGACAGTAACAAAGCAGTAAACATAGCTATTGAACAACTACCAGCCATTCTGTACAGCAGCTGAGTTTAGGGGTGGAAGAAATATCCTATGATCATGTTGTGTGTGCAGATTAAGACAATCCTAGTCTTAGTTTGCATTGTTCTAATTTTGGAGTGAATTGATTCTGCAGTCTTACTTGTATATAAATATAGGGGTTTTTTGTTTCTGTATTTCTTTTTCTGTAACTGCAATATTGGAATTGTGCCTGCAGAGAGAATGTAGATGAATCTCATGTCAGAAAGCAGTGCATCTGATACTTGTCGTCAGATTTCCTGTCAACCAAATATTAATCAAAACCCCAAAGGATTATCAAGGTTAATTATGAGGAATTTTGAGGGCTGAGTGTTTTTCTTTTCTCATTTATTTGTTTGTTTTTTTAAATTCACTTGATGTGAGGTACAGCAAGGCCAAAAATCAATAATGCTGGTTTTTAAATAAAATGTATGTATTTACATTTTCTCTTTTGAAAGGTGACCTGAGCATCTCAGCTGATCGTTTAAGCGAGAAGCATTCTCCGAATGATTTTGCTTTGTGGAAATGCTCCAAGCCAGGAGAACCCTCATGGGACTCTCCATGGGGAAAGGTAAGGACATTATGATCAGGAATTAGATCTTTTACACCTTATTAAATAACATGTTACACAAATACTTTGCCTCACCTCATATTAATAATGTGTAGATTATAGGGATCTTGTATTAAATCATAAATTCTGTTGCTGTGTTCATTTAATAATTTAGAATGTGTTTGATACTTTTTAAACAGAAGTCTGCATGGAGGCTCATGATGGCTGTTACTGGTCATTTGTTCTCTACTTCTTTACAGGCTTTATCTGCAGTAATTTCTATATTTTTTTCCTTGTGATCAAAAATATTAATCTAATTTTAAAAACAATAATAAGCAGGATAATCAAAGCATCTCAGATGTATATGCCATGTTTGATCTTTAAATCCAACAGTACACTTTTTTGAAGTTGAAGCTGAGAATCTTTGTTTTCTTTGTCACGCTGTATTTAATTTCCTCAGGTGTGTAACTGTTTAGGGGCAGACCAATGAGGGTATGATACATAGGCCAGAGAGGAAAACAATTAAGTAGTAGCCAAGTAATGTCTTTTTCTTAACAGGGTCGTCCAGGTTGGCACATTGAATGTTCTGCGATGGCTGGATCCATTCTAGGAGAGTCGATGGATATTCATGGAGGAGGGTTTGATCTCCGATTTCCCCACCATGACAATGAACTGGCACAGTCTGAGGTGAATGAACTGGCCTTCAGTTTCTACAGTGAAAAAGCAACATGCTTTGCTTTGACTGCAACTTACACAAATCCAGCAATTAATTTTTAAAACTTTATGTGTGTTTTGCATAAGCATAATTTTTCTTCTCAGGATTTTATACTTAAATTATCCTACATCATGGTATGTATGTAAACAGTGTTGGGTCTTTGGGGTTTTTTGTTTTCGTTGCAGGCATACTTTGAAAATGATCACTGGGTTCGGTATTTTCTGCATACTGGCCACTTAACAATTGCTGGCTGTAAAATGTCCAAATCTTTGAAGAATTTCATTACCATAAAAGATGCGCTGAAGAAACATACAGGTAACAATTACTTTGGAATTTGAATGCTTTTGATGTACTTTGAGTGGTGACTCTGGTAATTTTGTTATCTAGCCACGTAATAGTTTCCAAAAATGGATAACTTCAGGTGTCTTTCTTCTTCACTAACTTTAGAACAGCTTCCTTGTTCTTCTGTTCCTTGTTGGTATTATCTGTATGGATAGTAGTGTTCTTACTTTTTTGGTAGATGTATTGATAGTAAGAGTATTAAAAATTGTGTTCTTAGCCACTGCGGTATTGGAGGCCATAAAAATGCTTTAGATCATGGTTATTTTCCTTGTTTATTTTGAAACTCCTAATAGCACGACAGTTACGGTTGGCTTTCCTCATGCACTCTTGGAAGGATACGCTGGATTATTCAAATAATACCATGGAGTCAGCTATTCAGTATGAGAAGTTTATGAATGTAAGTAAGCTTTCTGTTTCTCTCCAGCTCTCTAAGCTTTGTGTTGTCATATGTGTTTCAAGGAAGAGAAGCCACGGATATATAGGCCATATCCACAGACTGAGTATGCGTTCTGAATTCATCAGGTGGGATGTCACAGTATTTGTTTAGCTACTATTGAATGTTCAAATCATTTAAATTCCACAGACAGCCACATTTCTCTGCAGCTGGGTGCTCTCTCCAAGTTTTGACATCTCTGAGCAACCTGGCACTTACACGCAAGATTAGTTTCTCAGTTCAGCTTGCTTATAGGACTCAGTCCAACAGACACTCTTGTAAACATGTCTACCAGATCAGACTTTACACAAATATAGCCAAAGGGGAAGAGGGGGAGTATCATTCCTACCTTGTCTCCTCACCACATACATGGAGCATTTGCCTCTATGCCTTGCAGGCATATGTGAGGGGTCAGGCACAGTTCCTTTCCCTGCTAAATTTGGAGCTGTGATTTAAACCCACATTTCCCACAAGGAGGCTGTACAGCATTTTGAGATCCTTGATCTTGGTCTCTCCGGCTGAAGCTATTCTGCTTTTTATGTAAAATGTTTGGTTTGGGCCACAGAATAAGTGAAAATTACTTTTCACCAAGCTGGATGCCCACATAAAATAGGCCCTCACTATAAAGCCATTTTTATTCTTCAGCTTCCACTGCTAGCAACACACTTAAAAATCTGCCATAAGAAGTCTTGCCTAAACTTCTTTAAAATGGTATTATATTTGAGCAGCTTGGTGTTAAGCGTATCATAGTGTATCATGCAGTGGCAGAGCCGAGATAGAACTCAATTACAGTCCCAACAGTGATTCACAGAGTTATGCAAGATGTGTGGGTTTCCTTGTTTTGACAGACATTCAGTAGATCCTGGCTGAAACAGTGTTGAAACCATAAACTTTAGGAGGCTAAATAAGAAATAATGCCTTTTCATAGTAAATATTGGTTGTGTCTAATTTAAACTGATTTTTAGCTATATTTGGTTTTTATAGGAGTTCTTTTTAAATGTGAAGGATATTCTTCGAGCTCCCACTGATGTGACAGGCCAGTTTCAGAAATGGGAAAATCAGGAAGCAGAGCTGAACAAAAAGTGAGTGGAAAAAAGTGAATAGCCATTGTGTAGCTACATGTTTAATTTTTTTTTTCATGCAAAATGACTTACTATGTATATAGTGATATTTATGAGTCTGTAGCACTTCCACTGAGTACCCCAACTCTATACAAGCTAGTGAATTTAATCTTGCAAGTACAGAAGTATCTACGTAGTACAGATGAAATTGTTAATGTCCGTTTCATTTATATTAAGTACACTGGCATGCCTCATCACCCTGTTTGTGAAGGGGAAGAGATCTTTTTTTTTGGATAGTTGTCATTTTCTTCACTAGTTGGAATGCTGTCCTTCTATCTGAGAAGTGACTGATAATTCATAGTGGTTACAACTGGAAAAATAGTATTCTACACATTTCAAAATACAGTGAGCAGAGACAAACAGAAGTTAAATGACTTGACTAAAAGCACAAAAGATCACAGTGCCAATGTTTGAAAATGTGTGATTGAGAGAGACAGAGATATCGATATTGCAGTCTTTTACTTTTATAACAAAGCTATCATTACTGTTTGTAACACAAATAGCTTCCTATATGACTTCTATTCTGTGTGAAATTTAAAATAGAAGCATCTTATGTTGCAGTACTAAAATTGTTCCTAGTTCAGTTCACTACTGTGGACAGAGAGGTTGTCTATTGAAAGACAAAACTATCTGTTTAGTGATGTCCTCTGAAAATTTCATCTTCAACTTGCGGTTGGTAGAGATAACCCTTTTTTAAAAAATGAGGAAGATAGTAAGTAATAGAGAGGTCAAAAGGAAGGGACAAAGAATTGGGAGGAACAGAAAATATGCTTCATGGATATTTGGTTTTGTCTCCTTTCTGTACCACTTCTCATTCTCTTTTCTCTGGAAAAAGTATGTTGTTTGAAACAGTAGTACTCTCTGTGTGACAAAATAGTACTTAATATACTATTACTTATTATGCCTATTCATGAACATTACAAAGGTTTGCAGGAATTTATTCCTTGTATCTGCTTGTAACAGCTTCATAACACTTCACTTTGTGGTAAGTTAGCTTCCAAATTAGTGTTCCTCACTGGAAAGATACTAAACAGAGTACTTGGCTGGTATGTAGGGACAGAAGAGCAATACTGTCAAAAAAAAAAAAAAAGTAAGCACAAGAAGGTACTAAATAAGCAATTTATACTGCTTTAAAAAACTGGTATGAAAAGGTCAGTTGCTGAAAAAATGTTTGATTTAATTTGTTTGGATAGTTGTTGCCACTTAGATGATCCTGCCTGCCTTTGACCATAGCAGCAAAACAGCAGCGTCATGATAATACCTTTTTCTCGCTCATCTGTTTTTCCTTCAAATATAAACTATGACGAACAAAAGATTATCGCACTTTTAGGTCCCCTTACTCTTCTAACAGAGATTCTTCAGAGTAGGTTGCAGATACTTTTGACATCAATAGTAAAAAAAATTTTTTTCTTCTTAGTTTTTACGACAAGAAGGCAGCAATTCATGAAGCACTGTGTGACAATATTGACACTCGCTCTGTCTTAGAAGAAATGCGTTCGTTAGTCAGTCAGAGTAACTCCTATATTGCTGCAAAGAAATCTTCCAGACAAATGCCAAACAGACTTCTTTTACAAAACATCAGTTCCTATCTCACTCAAATGCTAAAGGTATGTAATAGCAAGTAGCAATGTTGCTATTGCACTGTGCAATTGTAACTGTTGTATTTTTCAAGTATGTACAGTCTTTGTTTAAATCTTGTAGGAAACTAGAGATCTTCCACACACATCCCAACCAAAACAACCCCAAATTGCAGTGTGTGCTGCAGCAGGAGCAATTTGGAGTCCTTTATGCTACATTATAATTTCAGCTAATGTTTTGTTGAATAGTGGAGAGCCCCTAGTACATGCAAGGAGAGTGAGTTAGTAGAAAAGATACCAAGTCAGAATGTCAGATCTGACGGCTTTAAAGCTAAATCTGAAAGCCAATGCTTAGTATGCTGTGTCAATTAAAAACCAAAACATCTCATTAGAGCAGTGAATTGTGGGTTAAATGATTACTAGGTGGCTTTAAAACCCTAGTACATGTGCTTTTGCTTAGTTTTCACATACCTGTGACTTGATATATACAATCTTTTCTTTTCTTTTTTTTCTTTTTTTCTTCTTTTTTTTTTCCCTTGACCAGATTTTTGGTGCCATAGAAAGTGATGACGCAATTGGTTTTCCTGTTGGAGGGAATAGTCAAAACATAAATGTAAGTGAAGGACAAAGTACACTATACAAAATTACTCTGTGTCCTTTGAAAGCTTAGGTTAGATAAAGCGATTACATGATAATGTCATACTGATATGTAGCTGAATTACATTCTTTCTGCTTTTAATATTTGAATCTGAAGTAACTAATTGGCTTAGGAAGCAGGATTTTTCTTTTATGGGAATTGGATTTTTTTCTTGGTTGGTTTGACTTAATGACAGACAAATTTTATAGCAACCAGAAAAAGAATTATCTTGTCTTCTGGATGATGAGCCTGTTTAAGAAACCACATGTTAACTACAGACAACACATGCTACAGTCTAAAGACTCATTACAAGTATTTGTATGTTAAGTAGTTTCAAAAATATAATTATACTGATTAAACTTCCTTGTGGTATACCAAAAACCAGCCTGGAGGCAGCTGGAGTTTTATCTGCATCTCAATCTCTTTTTCTGATCTCATTTGTAGCCACAGTTTATATCTGGCATTTGAAGGCTATTTTGCTTTGGTCACTCAGCAGTTCCACTGTGATGCAGAATTTTTTGGGAAATACTTGGGAGATACCTGATGAAAGTGCTGATGGGCCCTGCAGTAACAGTAATGTTTGGTGGTGCAGGCAGGAGAAATAACTCTATATGAAAGCTATCAACTTTGCTGTCTTTGTTCCTGTGAAAAATTTGACAAGGACAAATCAGTGCAGTTTTTCAAGTATTTTTCTGCATTCAAAGGTGTGACCATATATTTTTCTGTTCCGCCTTAGAAGGAATAATTAAAACATTTGTGGTGTAACAAAAAAGCTAAACTTTTTATTCATCAAAGGAAGAGGAAAGCTTGCTTGTGGTCGAAGAATGTGGATGAACACTCATCTGATAATTACCCATGCAAATACTTACATTACTGTGCTGTGGAATCTCTAATAATGATACAACAAGTGTGATATGGAATATGCTTAGTATTCCATACCAAAACCCATCAACAGTGAATTTTAATTTAGCTCAGAATTATTTTGAATTTCAGAAGAAAGGCTGCACCTTAACACTTACTTTTTTAGGTAAATGTTTAGGAAAATTAAAATTAAATTCACATTTAGCACTTCATTCAGGCAGTGTCTACAACATATATGCTTTATGGAAAGATTGTCAATAGTTTGGAACAAGAAGCTAAGCCCTTTCTCTCCTTTAAAGTAATGTTGCCAAGGGTAGTAGAGTCAGAAGAATCCTGTGCAGAAAGAATCCTGTGCTAACACCTATTAGCACAGTTGTCAGAAGAACCTTGTGCTAACACCTGTTACACACAATAAACTTCTGTTTTTATTACCTAGGACATTACTGATTTTAAGCATTATAATATCAAGATGTGTAATATCACAAATGTTTTGGCTGTTAAATATTATACCCTCTTTCAATCTTCTGTGCAGATATTTATTTTTCTTAGCAAAAATTACCAGGGGAACATTCAAGGTTGGAAAACTTCTCATTAATTACAGAAGCTGTGGATCAGGCCTGTTGTTTCTTTGTCTAAATTGGAGTTGAAGGAACCAATAGATTCATTATCTCCAAAAAAGGCATAATCCCCTTCAAAAGTTCTGAAAGAACCACTAGCTAAATTACTGTCATTCAGTAATTTACTTGAAAGGGGCTAGAAGAGATTTGAAGTCAGAAAACTTCAGGTTCCATAGTCTCATTTTCCAAATGAATTAAGCGTTGCTGTGAAATCAGTTATTCTGGAAATAAAAATCTTTCATCTTTAAATGACTGATAAAGTAATGACAGTGCATGCTTTCCTGACACCACTTCATTTGCATGTTGAGCTAGTTTCAGTCTAGATAGGGTAGTGGAGATGTGACTGTTGCTCTCTTTCCAGAGTCTGTTCCTTCTGCCAGACTTGTCAGCAATGGTTCCAGTTGTGAAGCTGATTGCATAGTGTTCCCATTTATGAAAAGTTTTAATGGCGCCTCTCAGCTCCTTTCATGTGGGCACTTTTAGAGCATAACAAACTATCTTGTCTGTTAATTGCACAGAAATTTGTCATGGAGATTTAACAGATGGGAAAGACACGTGGAAACTGTAGGGGAAACAAAAGTGTGCGGTTTTTGCTCTCTCACCTCCACGGTCCAAAGTAAGGAAACTCTTAATTTAGACAGTCCCCTGTGTGCCTGGCTTCTCTTCTTGGGATTCCAGAGAAGTGTTGGCAGACGGCACTGATCTGTAGTTGTTTTTGTAATTGTTCACTAACTGCTTGCTGTTGCTATTCACTACCGTCGAGCGTGGGATTCTCAGGACTTTTTCTTTGAGCTTTCATGACCAGCCTTTACTTACACCTGAAATAATTCAACAGTAATCTCTCCCCACTTTTTGTGAAGGAGGGAGTCGTGTGAGGAATACAGACAACTGCACTGTATTGGAAATAAATACAATTAGCATAAGCTAACATCTGAGGAACAGATCTATGTTCTAATGAAAATAAGTCCTAACATCAGTTTCACCTGGTACTATGTCTGACAAGCAGTTGAACCTAAGCAAGATAACACAGAACATGAAAGGGCAAATTCATCTGGGTGCTGTTTTTATCCCTGTACTGCATTACAGTTAGCTTGACTGTAGCATAACCTGAAAGGAGACAAAAAAGGAATGGGGAGAGGCAGAACTTCACAAGTTGATTTTATCTGCACAAAAAGAAAATTGACAGCTAATGCAAATTATTGTCTATCCTTTGACATCAACAGAGCAATAACAATTTTTATTGATACAGATCTGCCCTGAGGGTCAAGTTCCATCCAACAGCACATAAATATGAAGTGGGTAAGGACATGTTTTATATCTAAATGATGATAAGCTAACTGTAGAAATAATTATCCTGCAGATTGAATCTACAGTGATGCCATACCTACAAGTCCTTTCTGAGTTCAGAGAAGGAGTGCGACAAATTGCCAGAGAGAAGAAAGGTGAGAGTTCACTTTTTCCTGTATTGTTGCACATGAGACGGAGGTCATAGGAATCAAACTGGGGGGTAAGCCAGCTGATACAGTCTCTCTTTGCTTAAAGAATAAAAGTAAGGCATCGTTAAATCAGAGCTGGTTTGAATATTTGCGTCTCTGCTACACGTCTCTTTAATTTGGGAACCTTTTACAGGCTGCTAAACTAATTTTCCTTCAATTTCCTAAAGCATCTAAAAGTTCTGGAATGACAAGGACTAGCTGTTTTTTCTCTAGATTAGGGCACTCCCTGCTTTCTAGGTATGAAAGTACCCATAATCTCTTCCCCCAGGAAGCTTGCGTTCTCTTAGAAGCGTAGATTGCTACACAATGATACTGTCTGTGTTTAAATAGCCTGAAATGTTCGTTCTTACTTGTTAGCATAGTTGGAATTGTAGCTCCCCTGATGGTAACTGAGCGCTCTCTTCGGAGAATTCATCTGGGAGTTTGCTAGAAGTTGTTTTGGGTGCTTTTTCTTTCCTCTCTCTGAAAAGCTTTGGTCATGCTGTGTGTGTTGGCCCGGAACTATATGGTGTTAAAAAGGTTGTTCCATTAAGCCCTCTTTGATTTTACTGGTTGATTAGTTCCTAATGGAGCTCTTACTATTTTCTGCTGTTCCCTGTGGAATTTTACATGTCTTCAATATGTATTTGATTCTTGTTTAAGTAAACTTTTTTACACTGAGATTTGTACTTGAAGGCAAAAGACAACATTTTTTTATATGTAAAACATATATAAATAACCCATATATTATACGGAAATATAAAACTACTTGGTAGTGTCTGGTTGATAACCTATTCAGCTGACAAAGAATCTGAACTCTAATTCTGCTACTGTTTTGAGTTTTTCTAAGGGGGGTAATAAGGTTTCTTTAAAAGCACAAAACTGTATTTGTTAATGTGACTACTCAGCTGTTACTGTCAAACTCCTATAGGCCTAACTGCTGCTGAGAAATAGGCTTATTAGTTCCAACAGCAAATATTTTCTGTAATTTGAATTAATTCAAGAAGTTTGTGTGTATATCCTCAGCCAAAAATGTGATCTTTGATCTTTCAGTATTTAACGTAAATACTCATTTCATATGAGGCTTTTTTTTACCCCTTGCTTTCTGATGGTCGAGCTAAACTAATCCTCACTCTTATCAGTGATAAGGTTTAAATATCACGGGGTTTCTTGTAGGTCATTTTTAGAATGCACTTAGCACTAGACTGGTTACTGGCACTTGAGTTTCTTACTTGGAAGGTATTGATTTTTTTTGCCTGAAATAAATTGGGCAGTAAGAATAAAGCTGGATCTAGTTGCTATTTGGTTGGGGTACAGGGCACTCTGCCATTTGACCAGGGAGGCACCTTTCATTAAACTATTTGGTATATGGAAGCTGAGCGGTGGTTGGCAGGACCTGCACTGACATGCTACTGATTTGTTTCCCTGTACCCATTAAATTCTGGCTTGCAGGAAGTGTTAAATTACTGTAAAAGTTGTTCTGATTGATGGCTGGGGATATTGCCTGTATGTGGTTGTAAGTGAAGGGACTTGCCCCATCATAGCCTGATGCTGGCAGGATGGTGTTAAGTATTAATTAACATGATCTGTATTTCTTTAAGTATTGTTAAAAATTAAATAAAAAGTATGCTGCTTCTGTGAAGTCTGCAGAGTAATACAAATGTCCCTATCCATATACCTATAACTTAAAAAAAATGTATCTATGTTTACAAAACATTTCACAGAATACCCATTTGTAAAACTATGTTTTTTGTAAGAATCAAAATGTATATACTCTACAAAAATTTTACCATCATCCAGAATGGCTAACATTCAAACACAGTATTAAAATAAATTCTCTATTTTATAACCTTATTAGTACTCAACCTGGAGACCCGCACTGATCATTTGCAGTTGAGCCTTGACTTAGTTTGTGAACATATCTAGCAATGATGGTCAACAGAAAAAGGAAAACACTGTGCTAGCTGTGCAAGGGAAAGAAATGCAGAAAAGCTCTGCAAAAGACACCAATGATCGGTTGATCAGAGCATCTCTATATTGCACATCCTGATGTTTTACTTGAGTACTTGACTAACTGCAAAGACCCCATATAGTTGTCTCTGCAAGGATGCACAGTGGAGCAGATCTGTGCTCTAGTGCAACCCCTGATGCTTGGGAAGAATTATCATTAGCAACAAATTGTTATTCAGATGTTCAACAGGAGCAAGTCTCTTCAGTTGTTGTTGGTTACTTACCTCAGGATATCTGCTTAAATTAACTACCCTGTGGTAAAGATGTCCATGACTGAACTCTGCCTGCATCTTTATTTTCTGCCATGGATGCTGGTGCCATGGAGTATCTTGCTCTAAACTGCTTCTCGGACACAGTGAGAAACCTCTGCCCTCTTCCTAATATAGCATGAGTTGACCAGAATTGTGACAAACTTGATCATTGTAACCATGCCTGCTCTTGTCTTTTGCTGCTGACCTTAATATCCAGCATTCTCAAGATGCTTTTTAAGCTCCTCCTTTTCCTCTCCATCACAGTGTTCCCATTCACATCAGCACAACATAGAATCATAGAATCGTTATGGTT